TATGGCTGGCTGGGGAACTCTGGGAGTTGAAGTCCACGCTTCTTAAAGGTGCTAAGGTTGAGAAAATATCTATGAGAGCTGTTAAAATGCTCAAATGAGAAAATGTGATTTAAACTGAAGCCCCCACCCCACCCCCAGAGTAAGGCCTTTTTAAAAGAGTATTTCCTTTGGCAACACAAGGGAAGGATACAGCGGTCACACCTTCTCCAGTATTTGAGGGAAAGGAGGGAAATTCATTCCTTAAATGCAAACTGAGTTTAATTTGCACTTTCTGAAGCAATACACGAGCCAGAAAGCAGATAGGTGTTGCCATTCACACTTCTCTGAATTTGGCAGTACAGTTCCCCTGCTGAAAATGTGTACACAGGACTTTGAGAAAACGCACACCAAACTTGCAAATATTAGGAAAAACAGTATGACGTGGAGGAAAACTGATTGCAGAAATAGGTATGTTAGGAAGCAGGACGTTCAAAAGCATACATTTTAGAAGTCCAACACCGGGTGTGTAGATTTTCATGCAGACTCTAAGAAGAACTTGCACAAAGGATAACATCAGCGGATTTATTCCTGTCATAGTAAGTCTTGTGGTGCCTACCAAATTCATTTCATTCATTTATCTGAAAAATTTGTAAAATAAATATTTATAAAATAAAACAAAAGGCACCACGTTCAAGCAGGCCCCGTAAAGAGCTCCGTCTCACCTTCCACCCTCTGGCCCAGCGCCTGGGGGGAGAGCCAGGGAGGTCGGGCCCTCCGGATATCGGGGGGAGGCTGAAGCCCTGTGGGATGCTCCCCTCTTTCTTATGGGCTGCAGCAGGAAGGGGAGCCCCCCGGCACGGAAGACCAGGAGGAGGAGTCCGGCGAGGAAGCCCTCCTGCACTACGAGGAGCGCATCACAGAACTGCTGGTCACGATTGCGCGTCTCCAGGGGAAAATCGAGCGCCTGCAGCAAAACAAGGCCAGGTAAATCTCTCCGGGGGCTTCTCCTCCTCCATCCCCCGGCAAACCCTTCGCTTTGAGTTCCGCTTTCTTGGCATGAATGGTCTGAAGTGCCAGAGAAGTCCTGTTTGGCCTCGGGCACCAGCCAAAGTCCAAAGCCTCTGTACAGCCCAAAACTGGAATCGGAAGTCTCTGTGAGTTTCCCATCGTCTTGCTTTGCAGGGATAGACTGCCTCTGCACAAGGAGGCTTTCTTTACCCATGTTGGCTAGCATCATTGAATGTGTTGACTACCCCTTTTTTAAACAAGAAGGTAACTGGAGCACGGCTGGATCCGTCCTTCTGGTCCAGCATTTCGATGCCGGCCGGTGACCAAGTGCGAGGCGACTAGAGGCTCCCTCAGCTCTCTGCCTCCAATGCCTGATATTCAAAATGGACACTGGCTTTGGACAGGAGGCTTTGGATTAATGCTCCAGGGGAATGATTTTCCAGAGGCTTTGAAGCCGGGAGGGTATATAACAAAACAGAAGCAGAGATTTGTGAAGAATTGAAACCAGCACAGTTTATTTCTTCTGAATCCTAATACATTTTACTGTTTCATTAATATAAAAAGTACCATGTATAGCTTAGTCCAGTGTTTCTCAATCTTGGCAACTTCAAGAGGCGTGGACTTCAACTCCCAGAATTCCCCAGCCAGCAAGCTGGCTG